CTTTTATCGATACGTGTACTGAAAATACCTGGCCCGAGTGGATTCACCGAGAAAGTCGACGAAGAGAATCTTGTCAGTGTTACTTAGGACCTAATGCAATGTTCAACTGGAATTAATCATTTCATCCGACCACTTTCCACAGAGATGGCGCTGTTCCGCTAGTAGGAAGTGATAAAAATCTCCATATAGAAATTGAGAGAAGTGGGAATAATTCGCTTTCGGTGCATATTCAGTTCAAAAAAAAAGTGAACGACAATCTATAGAAATTAGTCAGGGACTTTGTCGTTCACTTTTTTTCCCGGAAATTATTGTTAAACAAGCTACAACTAAAAAAACGATTTTTCCCCATACAGTTTTACCTGCGTTACTACCAGCCCCCAGAGAGCCAACAAATTCAAATTTGAGAGAGAAAATTTGCCGTGTATTTTGATGACACTCGATTTGTCATTTCCCTTTCACAGATTACAAAATAGAGTACCTGACACTACAAAACATGTCTGGTACCTCTATATACGCATTTACTTTAACATTAGAAGTCCTTCCTTTTTTTACATATTCTCCCGAAAAGATACTTTCTGCCCCGCCCCATTAATAAAAATTGGCGAGAAATTCTGTGAGGGGTGAGCTATTTTGTGTGCATTATGTGTAAAAAAGGAAGGACTTCGAATATTAATCTAAATGGATATATAGAGGTACCGGACATGTTTTGCACTGCAGTGTCCTCTGTGAACAATTAACGGAAACAGATTGTGTGCAGTTTCCGATACATGTCACTGCAAATAACAGCAGTGATTTTCTTGGGACCAATTGCTTTTTGTCAAGTTGTGAGCCAATTTAAAATCGTTAGTTTCGTATTGATTGTTGTTCATATGTTGCTGTGGTGAGAAAAGTGAGAAAGCAAATGAAAGTGATCTTTCTCACTGAGCAATGCTAGTTACTCGAGGTGCATCAAAAGCAACTAAGAAATTGCTCATGATTAGGCGCTGTCTTGCCCCTAGGGAGGAGGCAAACTTTTTTTTAAGTGTCATTGATGAATTCAAGTTCACTCACCGAAGAAAATAAAAGAATGCTAGGAGTAATTCCAATGTAATTTTCTGGAAAATTGGAGGAGAATTCCAGAATAAATCCAAGCTGTATTGCGAATCTTAAGATAAATTTGCGCCCGGCGGCTACCTTAGGCCGGTAATTTGGCATCAAAAATATGTCAAAACATCATGTTGAAGTCGTGTGGCATGATGTTTTGACATGCTAGCATATATTACACCTACGCCACATCAGTGGATACACGGCCTTCAGAATCCTAGCGCAGCTGTCAAAGTTCTTCCACCAGTATGAAAATGAGCTGAATATTGAAAAAAAAACATAGTGTGCATTGAAAAAATAGAAGCATATTATCTGGTGATTATTTGAAGCCTTGTTCATTTGACAGCTACGGCGGAACTTTTTGTCCTGGAATTAATCCATAAAAAAAAACTCTAGAACAGCAATACATACCTATTGAAGAAAAATTCACGCGAATTTATTTCTAAGAATTCGAAGAGAATTGTAGAACGATTTCAGATGCGAATGATCAAATAGATATGAAGAAAATAATAAGTGAATAGGGCATGACGCTACTTCGTAGAAATAACCTATTTCCGTTCTATCTATAACAAACGCAACAAACGCAATGGAACCTATTTCCGTTCTATCGAGTAGAAAACATCAATAATATCAAAGATTTAACAGTGCAAAAATCAATAGTACGTTTTATACTTTAGTTCAAAAGTTACAACACAAAGCCGGTAAGAGCGCAAAGTATGAATATTTTTTAAACCCATTGTTCGAAAATAAAAAAAGCACTCGAAGCGTATCCATTATTTCTACCTTAATTTATCCGGAATTGAACCCGAATGATGGATTTGGAATCAAGAAGCAGTATTAGATTTTTAACAAAATATAAATAATTTTTGAGCTTTTATTAAATCCAACGGTACACATGGAAAGGGAAATTAATTTAGAAGTCATATTTATTACAAACATTCAATTTTTTATTCAAATCCGTTCGAAAAAGAGAGGTAAAGCACGGCTTGTGCTTAGTAGGACGGAAATTAAATCAAAAACCCTACCAGGGGAAATCCCCTCGAGGAAATCTGAAAAGAAGATTGAAAATATTAATCTATTGTCGAGTATTTTCAGGACGACCATCTACCAGAATAATTTATAAAAATTAGGTATCAGCTTGGACAGTTTCAAGGGAGAGCATAAGAAAACCCCTATTTTTTAGAGTTTCTAGAAAAAAAAATCGCAAACAGATTCGTGACGAGCTCCATGAGGAAAGCAAAACATTTAAGCGCCGAATTTTAAATCTGGGTGCCAATAAGTAAATAAAGTAATTTAAATGCATTGATCGTTTGTTTGAGAGGGTGATCGATTTCATCCCAAATCAGCATATTTTTTTTTAATTTCAAACACTTCTTAAGACATTTTTAAAATTAAATACAACCAGTGATGGCATAATCATTAGCATATTGATAATTTCCCGCTCTCATACGCTCTCAATATCACGCGGGGGGAGAGGTAGCTCATCGATTCTTCCGGTTCGCCTCCTAGCATCGTGCTATAAGGTACCAGGCGATAACCAGGGTAGTTGATCGATAGCTCGATGACGTCATTTCGTTGGCGTCTGCAATGGGAAATTCTCATAGCAGGCGTTGACGATGGGACGTTGTCGAGTTGTTGAATATCAACTATCGTGGTAACTCCTCGATTACCTGTCGATCTGCCAAATTTGGAAAGACGTCTGAATTGAATTGTCTCATATAATAATATTCCGCCCACTATTCTATATCACAAGAAATTGCGAGTAGCTGAGTGGAATGGAGATAAGTTAAGCATTGGGTACAGGACCAAGTCTCCCCTGGGTGGTGCCAAAAGATGAGCGCAATAGAATCATCAAGTTACCATAAGGCACGGAATGAGACTATTGCATGGCTGGGTAGTCAAAGTCTTCCATTCGTTAGTCATTTCAGGTGGATTAGAACAGGTTTAGGTGGGCGTTGGCCAGATTTGGATTTTTCAGATGTAATCCTGGATAGGACCCTGTCATTGAACGTCGCGTGAAAGTGGAACTTAATGAAGGCCTAAGTACTTTTTCGTAGTTTTTAGTTTTCGGATTTGAAAGATCGTCGATTACAGTGACCTGCTTACTGAGCAGAAAAACGCGGTCCCAGGTCCTTACATATCAAAGAGATTTATGGTAAAATCGCTTGTGTATCGTGTATTTTGCGAAACTCGTTGTTGTCGTTGGTTCCGGGTTTGAATCGATACACAAATTTTAGCAACGGTATTATGTGATATGAGGGGCTCGGTGGCCTTAGAGCAACCGTTTTTGCTTACATGAGTCTAATCTCAGGCCCATCCACATTCAAGATTCGTCAATCGTTTTATTTGTTAATATGACTACATGGTAATAACAGCAACTCGGTGATTAAAAAGGAGCTCGTCTGCCTAGTGGCAAACGTTTTTTTTTACTGAGCAGAAGACCGCGCGTTATATGATCGTTAGGACATCAATTCAGCTTATCGTTTACCAAAACGAACCCTGCTGCAAACCCAACCCTCTTATCCAACATCCAAGTGATTCCTCGTGGAAGTGCAGAGGTGTTCTCGACTTCCATCAAAGCGAGTGTCATGTCAACACAATCCTTCCCATTCCTTTCTTGACCTGTGTTCGGGCGCGGCCGGCGCTTGCCTAATTTAAGATCACCAGTTTTTACACATTGAGGATGATTGCTAGTCCCAAGCATCGTCTATTGGTTCTCTGTGTAATTACAGCTGATCTGGCAGTAACAGAGTAGCAACCGTGGGTGGTCAATCAAGCTCAAGCTCAAGCTCAAGCTCAAACGCTCTCAATATCACGCGTGAAATTTGAGCAAAATATCATGCTTGATATTGATTCTACAAGCTCCTTTGATATTCGAGACTATTCACAACGTGCGAAATAGAAACTGAGAGTTGAATCGACGCTAAAATGATTCTGTTGCACCTCGTTTTCTTACGAAGAGAAGGTATAATAATGCTATCTCCTTTACATCAGTAGCAATGAAGACTCGTTGAGATTGCTTTTCATATTGGATGTTTTGTTAATTTGAAGGAGATTTTTATAGTTCCGAATTTGAAAATATCGATATGGGTTTAAATTAATCAAATGCTTCCCAGTGCATTTCTAATGATTGTTATTACTAAATGTGAGTTCCCTGAAACCGAATCAGATGCTAAAACCTTTGATCAAAGAGTATTTTCAGCAGAAATGCAAAAAAAAAAAAGTTTGCATAAATTGTACAGTTCCGCTTAAATTAAGACAATTTCTTTAAAAATCACTGGAAATTTCAACATAACCCCTTGATTTCTTGAGATATCCATTAATTTTCATTTTACCGTAACATATTAAATAATTCGGATTCATTAACACTTTGTTTAGTAACAAATGATACTTGCATGCTAACGACAATCATCGTTGCAGCTTTATGATCATTTGTTTGAATGTTGATATTGTATGCTACTGAACGTCAGCTCAATAAAATTGAAATTTCTGCAATAAAAAATACTTTTCTGTTCTGAAAAACTCATTAAACAAACCAGTGATAAAATGCTAGTAAGATGTTTCTTGATATCTATCACCAAAACTCTTATACATGACTATTAGAAGTGCAAGGCATAATGATCCATTACACCTCGGTGAACAATTTGCCCCCGGATTACGGTTGGTATATGAAAGAAATTACTACTTGTAGCGTAACTAAGGCAAAAAAAAAATTCTAATTTCTCGAAATCAACAAAAATAAGCTTTCTAAATCACTAACTATGAGTCCTCTAGGTAAACTTTAAGCAATCGCAAATGGTTCGTTGAAATCATAAAATAATATCCTAGACCTATAAGCGACCGGGGAAAAAAGAACTACGCTTCATTGCCTAATAGTTGATCTTCTTCACACCAAACAAATTCGGTATGGACTTTACCTTTTTCTTCGACCCATTCAGGTATTCCTTGTACATGTCGGACCGTAGATAGCGCGAGTAGGAGTCACTCTTCATCAGATAAAACACATGATCGGCAGCGACGTCGAAGCACCAACGGCTCGGGCTGGCCGTTCCCTCCTTGATGGCTTCCCGGCACAGTTCCAACGATTTCGAGTCGATATTCACCGGACAGGCCGCGTCCGGTGCCAGGTACTCGTTCCAGATCGCGTTGGCAGCGTCCTTGATCTGGGACTGTGGCAGGGCCTTCATCTGTTGGATCGCTTCCCAGAATCTGAAAAAAAACATTGTCCATTTATTTACAATCCAGTGGAGGCTCAGCTGAAGGACTTACTTCAGATTTTCTCCGCTAAACTCCTTATCGAGGAACTTCGTAAACTGCTCCCGTCCAACCGGATCGTTCAGCAGTTCCCGTAAGCTGAATCCCCACCGTTTGACCCGTTTCATGGCAATGTCTTTGCTGTAATTCGAATTTGATAGTTTTGGTACGTTTTCTAGAGAAAAAAGAATATCCCAGTCAAATTACCCCTGTTTTTCGGTATCCCAAAGTTCAGTACTGTCCGATTGCCACGGATTTGGATATTCTGGTGCAGTTAGAAAGTAATCAAACTCACTGTACTGTTCGTAGTACGAGATGTATCTGCAAGAAGGTAGAATTTGGACAGTAATTGCTGCTTTAGGCGAAGAGAATGGTGTCATATCATCGGTACTTACGACTCCGCAGCCTTGGAAACCTTGATGGTCCGCCGCTCCAGCTTCTGCTTCAGCAGGTTGATTGTCTTGGCCATGGTTTCCGCGGGGTTGCTGTTGGCTGCCGTTCCAGCCGAACCCGAACCGAGACTGGAGGCACCTCGCCGGTAGGCTTTCTTGATGTCCACCTCAGTGGTGTTGACACAACCGGGCATTGGACGGTGTACATCCCAAAAGGCGCGCTCCTGCGAATCTAGCACCTTGCGTTCGAGCTTATCACGTTTCTTATCCACCTTACTCTGGGCTTCAGCTTGCATGAAAATGAACTCCCACTTTCGGGAGAACATCTTCTGCAACTTGGCCAGGTTTTCCGCCTCGTAGTCGGCCAACTCCAGTCTAGTTTTGTTTTGCATAGTGCGCTTGCAGAGATAGATGGCGTAGTCTGTGTTCTCCGGTTCCCAGAAATTGGATGGCCAAAAGTAGGGCGTTTGGAAGCGATAGAAGGTTCCATCATTTTTGACGGTGAGCTGATGGTCATCGATTGGAAACAAATAACCATGTGAAGCTAGTAGATGAGCCAGGTGCAGAGCTTCCGTCACGTCTTCGACGGTAAGATTCTGGGTAATCCACGCGATCAGATCGGCCCCGGTGAACACCGAAGGGACCTTACTCATGAAGGCCTTCACTGTGCGCACGGACACCCCGGAGCCTTCAGCTTGCATTTTTTCAATGATGGCTTCCATCTTCTTGTATACCAGTATGTTGGGTGCATCTTGGCTGTGCGGAGTATGATGGGTCGTTCCAGCACTGAAACTGACCAGTGGGCCCGTACCACCACCGGAACCCGCTCCGCTCATGCTGCTATTTGAACACATTTTCTTTGTTAGCCTTTCTTTCTCTATGTCAGAAGTCTTCTTCGTGACCATCGTTTTCCCAGGATTTCTACTATGGGTGTTAGTTTTCTTTTGCTTAAAATTTGCGCGAACCAAGCAGTTCTTATAAAACTGTTGCAGGGGAGAGGAATGCTGCAAAATACCAAAAAAATGTGAACAATTCTGGTAAAATTCAGGCTTTGCACAATTTTGGAACATCCGCAATTAAATAACACTCCAGAGCAGGCGTTCCACCCACCATCTACAGGAGGACTTACTGTTTAAAACTTTTCTCGTATCAAACTCTTTCGCGTAATCATCATTCAGACTAGGGCAACCAAACGCCTGAATGTAGACGGGCAAGCACCAGTGCAGCAGAAGCTTGGAAATTCCCAAAAAATTCACATCTTAGAACGATTCGCGAAAATTTTCCTCTTACATCCGTCCTAAAATTGATTTTTCTCCATCTGTCACTGCTACACACTAATGCTGCTGCTGCTGCTGTCTGTCCCTGGGAGGAGGTTGATTGCTGACAAAAAAGCGAGAGGTCAAGACGACGAAAACGGGAGCAAGCAGCTCTTAAATTACTATAATATCAGCCCGTATGTATGCTCACGCGGCTATCCACCCACACCTTCCGTAGCATGGCCTCTCCTTTCGTCCACCGACCGTCTGCCGAAATTGTGATTATGCTACGAAGGCTCTCCCAGCAGTTTCTCTCTCTCTCTCTCAGTTTATCTGGCGGGTTTTGGGAGAATGTTTGGACTTTTCCGATGGGGATGGGGTGGGGAAAGTGGTTTTCCTTGCTCCCATGGGCGTCTCGGGAAACGCGCTCTGTTTTCATTCTCCACCTAGCAGTATGATGGAGCTCCACGCTCTCTGTTATCAGTGACGACCAACCAGCCAGCAGTGTGCAGTGAGTTGCGTTCACATAGAAACCCTTTTCACGAGAAGTGGAAAAGCCTTTGGTGAGCTTAGTACAGATCATTGTTTACCTGCTTAAAGAAGACCTATTTGTTGAACTTGTTGATAAAGTTGTTCAGCTTTAGGTCCTTCGTTCTTTTTGATTTCCTACATCTAATATGGCAGCCTCATTATGGGAATAGGAGACCTCAGGCCAGCCCCCTACTGTCTCCGAAATCTACAAATTGTTACAGATAGGGTTAATGTCGTTAATGTGAGCCTAAGTGTCCCTACACACCCCTAAATTTTTTTGCCGAGATGGGCACCACCGAGCAGCTCGGCATTTTATTTTGCTGAATCTCAGTGAAAAACTTGCCTGAGATTCAGCAAAATTTATGTTTTTTAGCTGAGATCTCGGCAAAATTCCCGATTGTTAGCTGAATCTCGGCAAGTTTTTCACTGAGATCCAGCAAAATAAAATGCCGAGCTGCTCGGTGGTGCCCATCTCGGAAAAAATCTAAGCGTGTAATATTGGGCCCATGCCTAAATTTCTAAAAATCCAAAATATCCATTTGTATTGTCCAGTTTACGCATTGTTTTAAGAAAAAAAAAAATATGAACAGGAGATGTTTATCGATGAGCCCAATCTTTAGATCCAATGGTAAACATTAGAGCCATTTCCCATACACACTTAGTTTGTTTTGCCGAGATTGGTACCGCCGACTAGCTCGGCATTTTATTTTGCTGGATCTCAAACAGAACAAACAGAAATTTTACCGACATCCCTAATAAAAAATAACCATAAACGAACGATAACCCAAATCATTGAACTATTCCACAAATGGTTTGGATGATACCCAGAACACGTCGTTAAGCAAATTAACCATACAATTTTTATTAGGGATGCTTCGCAGGTGTGGAAGCTGCCTCCCTGCACATTCGATTCCGTCATTCGGTGATTGGCACTACACACTTAGATTTTTTACCGAGATGGGCACACTAGCGTGAACAGGAATCTTGTTAAGGAGGGCAATTTTTTTTCTGTGGCGCATTTAATCTGGGGATGGGGAGTACTCCAAAGTTCGTGGTGGATGGTGCTGTCTGTCCACCCACCACTGTTTCCTTACTGTTCAATTTAGCGAATTTTATTTATTTTTTGCTCCGGTGATGGTTCATCTTCTTCAATGCAAGCTGCTTTCAGACTGCCAATGCAAATAGTCAATTTAATCCCATCGACGATTTCGATGATGATCGGTTCGTCAAATGGTTGCAATAAAGGGTGATACGGTCAAAATTTGGTCAAGGGAAAACGCGTGTAAATCGGTGAAATCGTTTATTTCACGTTCAATTAGTATAAAATTCAGGAAAAATATTCAGTTAGGCTTCCGCTTTTCCAAATCCGAATTGCCGGGCCTTACGCTTGACCCCTGCCATCAGATTTAGTACAGCCACCTTGTCCACCTTCTTCGCCGCAGAAAGCCAGTTTGCCTTGAACTGCTGCTCGCCCTTAGCAGTTTTTTTGGTCTTCTTGAGGTTCCGCTTGACAATAGCCCAGTATTTCTCAATTGGGCGGAGCTCTGGCGTGTTGGGAGGGTTCTTGTTCTTGGGAACCACCTGCACGTTGTTGGCGGCGTACCACTCCATGGCCTTTTTACCGTAATGGCAAGATGCCAAATCCGGCCAAAACAGTACGGAACAACCGTGTTTCTTCAGGAAAGGCAGCAGACGTTTATTCAAACACTCTTTCACGTAAATTTCTTGGTTGACAGTCCCGGAAGCTATGAAAATGCTGCTTTTCAAGCCACAGGTACAGATGGCTTGCCAAACCAGATATTTCTTTGCGAACTTTGACAGTTTCATGTGCTTGAAAACATCTGCTACCTTTCCCCTTCCTTTTGCCGTATAAAACTCCTGTCCCGGAAGCTGCTTGTAGTCGGCTTTGACGTAGGTTTCGTCGTCCATTACCACGCAGTCAAACTTCGTCAGCATCGTCGTGTACAGCCTCCGGGATCGCGCTTTGGCCGTCGTATTTTGTTTATCATCGCGATTTGGAGTCACTACCTTCTTGTAAGTCGATAGTCCGGCTCGTTTTTTGGCTCGATGCACGGTTGTAGACGATACACCCAGCTTGTTTGCGGCATCTCGGAGAGAGAGGTTAGTGTTTCGCTTGAAACTACCGGCAACTCTCTTTGTCGTCTCAGCGGCTTCCGGTTTTCGATTTCCCCCGATCCAGACTTCCTGGCTGTCGACAAACGTTCCCCAAACACTTTAATTACATTTGTAACGGTTGATTTGGCAACTTTTAGCGATTTTGCCAACTTTGCGTGCGAGTAGCTCGGATTTTCGCGATGCGCGAGCAAAATTTTGATACGCTGCTCTTCTTGCTTGGACGGCATTTTGACAACTCAAGAGTGAATTCCAAAATAAAAATAGGAACAACATTCTACACACACACACCTTCAAAATGAGGGGTGTTCAGGTTTTTTAAATGCAAAATTGAAAGAAATACGTCAAGTTGATATTGACCAAATTTTGACCGTATCACCCTTTAGTAAGGCTTCAACCAAAATGATACATTTGCTGCAATGTTGTTGCCTTGGTGGTTGGATTCTGCTGAAGTCACGTCAGATGGTGGTGATAGCACTACATCGACAAGCACAAGGTTCAAACAGTGCACATAGCAGTGAACAAACAGTATATTGCTTTTGATCAGTGTAGTTGAGTACTTGGCACTGATGAAGTCTGCAATTAGTAGACGAAATACGCGTATCTGTCAAAAGAGAGCCGGCGCCGGTGGTGTAGTGGTAAGCGTGACTGCTTTCTCACCCCAATGGGTCTGGGTTCAATCCCAGCCGAGGTCGGTGGGATTTTTCTGAGGCATAAAAATCTCTGGTCTCGTCTTCCTTCGGAAGGGAAGTAAAGCCGTTGGTCCCGGCCCATGTGTGTTGAATGGGTGCAATATCCTACGCAGGTGGGGAAGCTGCCTTCCTGCACATTCGATTTCCGTCAATGGATGGCAATCGATGTCCGTCGGTGATTGGCACTAGATTGCGGAATAGAGACCAACGTTAAATAAAGGAAAGAAGATCTGTCAAAAGATAAGCAATTATAACGGAATTAAAAGGAAGTAAGCCAACACACTCAAAGCTCTCATAACAGTATATTGCTGTTTTTGTCCTTGCACATGGCTTGTACTCCAGCAGTGCTGGCACCGTCAAAACATACTGCCATCACCTGCTCCCAAGAAATCTGCATCGCTGTCAGGACCTCAGCAATAGTATTGAAGATGGTCGTCACGTCTGTTTGTTTTCAACACCCACGAATGTTTCCGTCGGCCGATCATTATCAATATACCTGATGACAATCGCGATATTCCGAAACATTACATCGTGCAACGACGTAATTATGTCATTTTGAATACGGTTACTTGTGTACTGGCAATTTTTGGCATTTCCACAAGTGTTTTTCCAGCACAGGATCGTAATTAGCCACCAACTGGGTGGCACACTTTCCGCTCCTTCCGAATGTCCACGAAGTAGTCGGCCACCTCTGCAAAGTATGCGCACAATATCGATGAAACGTTCCATTATATAGTGATTTTGTAGCCGCTTTGCCTCTCTAGCAGAAATCATAGCTCTTTTTTAGTGGTCCAGTTCTTCTTCGATACCCTTCCTGGTTTTGAAATTCTTCCACTCTTCCATACTACCAACATGGGTATCACTGCGATTGTGTTTGCCCAGCTTGCCGATCGCGTTCTTCCAATTTCTGAACCCTGTAGGAATCGGACAACTTGAATCGTCTGAAAAGACCAAGAGCAAAATGTTTGATTGTGTAGAATTGGCTCTGAAAATCCAGAATAACATTGAAAATAGTTTTTTGTTTTTCAGTTTTTTATAATTTCTTGGAAGTTAAAGTTACAGTCATAATGTTTTGCGTCATGCTTTTCTTTACAGGTTAAAAATATAAACCAAAGAAAATATATTCTTCAAGGTACTGATATCATCTTTTATTCAGTTACCTTTCTGAAATTTTGTACAGTACAGTTTTGTATATTTTGAAGGCATCGTTACAGGTTATTTTTGACTATTTTAAGGTTTTGTAAGCCTTTATATGATGTTGTAGTTACACTTTACTTTTACCATTGCGAGTACCTTGAACTTGGTCATTTTCAGCGAAAATTGTAGTTATAATTTTATCAAATTTTGACCTAAATTCCAAGGCTAATAGGATCATTAAAAAGGTTTAAAAAATATGTAGCGATTGAAACAAAAGCGCACAAAACTATTCTGATAAGCGGGTGCAGGATTGTTAACGGAAGACGACTTGTGAGAAGGATTGAGCATGTCAACTCTGTCCCAAAGTACCGCCAGTCGGGGTGACAGAAAATGATGCCGAACATTCAACATGTTTTAAAGATGATATAAAGGACAAACCAGAATTTATTGCAACGCACATAAACAGCTTCAACTTTTTAACCACGGGGAAAAGAAACTTGAAATTTTCAGAGAATATTCTTCGACGAATTTTTAGTAAGACAACAATAGACTTAGGTTCAATGGAAAACTAATACCCACTTTTCAATTAGGGAATCCAAAAGCTGTATTTAAACTTTGTACAGTTGCGAAAAAG